ATACCCTAATTATGGTTATTTGAAAACAATATATTTGGGCAGAGTAACAATTAGGTACCGTGCATATACCTATATTTGACCAGCATAACTTCTAGGTACCACGTTATCCTAGGGATTTGGTCATTATAACATCTAGGTATTATCTCTTCCTAGACTATCGGACATCATAACTCTTAGGCATAATATCATAGCTTACAACTAGGCATAATATCTATAGCTACATTTTTCTAAAGCTTTAAGCTTTATAAAATGATTTAATATTTGTAGATATAAATATATTTTGATAAAACCATTTGATAAGCATGTATCCCCCCTGTAAAACATTTAAAATAGTGAAATAGGGGTCGTGAACTCACTCTAGTAGTGTATTCTGAAGCATCCAGGCCATTGCACCCGAAGCTTCGTGCCATTGAGAGGACTTCCAAAACAGCTTGAGAGGTATAGAGAGAGGGTTTGGGAGAGTGTTTGGGATGAGAAAATCAGAAAGTGAGCACCTCTATTTATAGTGGTTGTGCGCGCGGTGCACTTCATGCACGTCATGCACTTGTTTCGTGACTCCATCCAGAGCTTGCCACGTGTCACACTTTTGATGGTCCAAGTCTCCCTAATCTCGACGAATCCGCGTGTCAGAGGTGCGCGTCAGGCATGGCGCGCACTTGGCGTGCACCTCTTAAATTTCTTTAAAAATTCATATCTTCCTTATATGAATCTTGTTTCTTATCCTTTTTATACATTTGTGTAGCTCTCTACTAGTACTACAGCTTTCCTTAAGGTTGTGTTGCCAAATTTTAACTTTTATTTTTAACCCGTATTTTATATTTTTTTGAAAACTGTATCTCCTTCATACGAACTCCGTTTTTGACATTTTTCCTTTCAAAGTCCTTATCTCATGGGCTACTACGATTTTCCTTTTTGCGACATTAGCCGAAACTCAACCGATTTCTTTATGCTATTTTGACGTTAATAGCGTTATTAACGCTGTTGGTTTTTATCTTCTATAAAATCATAACTCCTCCAATCAGAGTCAGATTTTTGCAACGCTTATATCATTGAGATAACTTTGTTTTGTACTTTCCAAATACACTAACCATCATAAAAAGTGATATAACTTTTTGGTCACACATTTTTTACTCTATTATTATCATTTAACTGATCATATTTTCCTTCGATATGAAAAGTTCTATCATTATTATTGGTTGATGTTAATATCTAGTGACAATTAGTGACGGGAAATTCTCAATTGTTATAATAATTACCTCATTTCCTTTTAATATCTCTATATTTACGTGGAACTCAAACGATTCTCATCCTAAATAAACATTACATTTTTTATGTATGTATTCAAACTCTCTATAGCTTTACAAAGCTTGTAGATATCAATCCCCTTATTTTGTGTCCAATCTACTATACATTTATTCATATGCCATGACTAGGGGTGTAATCGAGCCGAGTCGAATACTTCCAAGCTCGAGCTCGACTCAAGCCTTAACTTCAAGCTCGAGCTCGATAAAGTAATCGAGTCTTTTGATCTCGGCTCGACTCAACTCAATTAACTACTAATAAATAAAATCACATTAAACTACACTAAAAATACAATGAATCTCGTGAATTTGACTTGGCTTGACTCTATAATATGTAAATAACAAATAGTAAAAGCGTAAATATAAAAATACTCGATTAAGGTCGCGAGTTTCACGAGTCGAGTACTTCTGTACTCGAGCTCGACTCCATAATGTACTCGAGTAGCTCGAGCTCGACTCGATTTGAGCCGATTTGATTTTGAGTATTTTTCGAGTCGGTCTCGAGTATCTCACAAGTTAGCTCGGCTCTGTTACACCCCTAACCATGACCTTTGATATAACCACTCCTTTATGCGGCTCTCGTTCGACTTCCTTGTGTATATTTCTTTAGCTCCCTCTCTTCCCCTCCTCACTACTCAATATAAACTCCTTAAAACAATTTTCTTTTTCCTAACCTTTACGTCAGGACCAATTCATTACAAATCGACACAAATGAACTAAAAAGTGTAAAAAAACAAAATTAATAGGTCAAAAATGAGACAAAATAATAGTTAATGGACTAAACCTGTAATTTACTGTTTCTCACTCCCCCAATTCAAGTCTTCACCGACGGCCTGGTTGCGTTCCATAGTCGTTGATCACGAAACACAAACAACTGTCCGAAACAAAAACCCTTCACACCCTAGAAATTGACACTCTACCAGTTCCAATCCCAGCATCTCGCAAACGCTCTGTGGCAGTGAACACGAATCGCCGTCATTAGCAATGTCGTGGTTAAGATCTGCCGTCAACAAGGCCGTGGAGGTCGGGAACAAGAACAACCTTACTCGCACCGTCAAGAATTACGCTGATACGGTGGTCCAACATGCCGGTCAAGCGGTAGCCGAGGGCGCTAAAATCTTCCAAGACCGAATCGTAACGCTCTTCCTTAACTTCTAAATCTCCCTTTGGTATTTTTAGCAATTTTTTCGGTTTTTAATATCTTTGCATTTTAAGAACTGACAATCGGAGTGTTTGTTTACCGAATTGGTATAGACTTATTGTCATCTAGTTGCTGAAATAAGTCAAATTTTGGATAGTCAAAACTTGTTCTATTTAAAGCTAATTTGATTAGGTTTCAAATTTGTTTTGTATGCGATTAAGATGGAATCACATTTGGTAAACATCTATCGCATGTCATTGTAGAATCATGCTACAACAAAATGAAATCGTAATCATTTCCAGGGACATTTGAAAATACTCTTGGATTAAAGTTTCTTAAGTTGGCTAAAGAGGAAACAGGGTTTTCTTTACTGTGTTGGATGCTTTAAGAAAGTGAATAAATTGGAATCAATTATCAATTTGAAATATAATTGGCTGGACCCATTGAGTTCCATTTGGGTTTAAATAGTGGTATATAAGCCATTAAGCATATAAGGACCTGTTATTCTATAGCTATTTCTTTCGATTTTATGATGAAGCTAAGCATTACAGGGAGCTCGAAGTTTCAAAAGCTTTAAACTGACTGTTAAAAGATTGGAAGAAGCATCGATTTCTGTCAGAGGTCCAGAAAGGATACACTTAATGAGAAGATGGCTTGCTGCTCTGAAAGAAACTGATAAACTATCAGGTGGTTCTTTTGAAGATGATGAGAAGAATCATGAACAAAATCATCATCCTGAAGAAGTAAAAGACAATCAGAAAAAGCCATCTCTAGTGAGTAAATTTGCTTTTTTATACCTTTCCCTCTTTGCCACCATAACATTAATACCTTCCAATTTACAGGTTCTGTATTATGACTCTGATATGGTGGGAGATCCAATGAACTTTCGTGATGTTTTTCTCTATAGTCAAGCTTTGGAGGGCATCACAATATCTATGGTAACAACAAATGCTTTCTGTTATATCTATTGACATTTGTTTATCTTTCTCATGAACTAAAATCAAGATTCCAATTCATAGATTCTTGAACCACCAAGTGAGGAAGAGGTTTCTCTACTTCTGGAATTTTTCGGGTGAGATATTACATATTTTATATTTTATATTTTACATAATCTCTTAGCTTTACTTCAAGTCTACAACTTATGCTCATTCTTATGTAGTTGCTGTCTTACTGGAGGAAAAGAAGTTCATAATGCCATAGTCAGCAGCATTCAAGATTTGGCAAAAGCTTTTTCAAGCTACAAAGATGAAGTTTTGGTACTGCATGTATAAAATATCTTCAACTTTTATAAGTTTAAGGTTTACATTTTCTCACTTTTTTCCTTGTAGGTCAAACGTGAGGAATTACTGCAGTTTGCACAAGGTGCAATCACTGGGCTAAAAGTCAATGCTGAGCTTCGAAGGTAATAAGTCAAAATGTTTGTTTTATGATTTATCACATAGTTGCAAATATGGTGAGTTAATGAGTTATATAATTATATTCCCTTATTGCCCTTCATATGGTATTCACAGAATAGATGCTGAAGCCTCTATACTGAAGGAGAAGCTTGAAGGAATGGAAGCAGGTGGAGAACTTATTGGTGATGGGTATGAAACAGCCTCCAAAGAAGCAACCATTGCTACAATAGAGGTGAAGAACCTTGTCTTTTTTTGTTAAAGATTTATAATTTATAATCAAAATCTAATTTTTTTAATGTTTTATTAGTAGGCTTTGAAGAAGGCTCTAGCCCATATTCGAGTTTGTTCTAAACTAGAAGGCCTTCTACTGAAAAAGAAGTTGCTTTATGGTGGAGAAACTCCTGAGATCCATGATCAAAAAGTAGTTTTTTTAATCATTTGGTTCTTATTCTTTTAGAAAGTGATCTTTAAAATGTTTTGCTAAAATTGTTAGTCTTTTTGATTCCAAACAAGGTGGATAAATTGAAAGTGTTAGCTGAGTCTCTTGTTAGCTCCTCCACAAAAGCTGAGAAGCGTATTTCTGATAACAGGTATTTATTTATTTATTTATTTATTTTTTTATACATTAATATGTTCTTAATTGTGTTGTTTTGATTACAACTTTTGCAGAGTTCAGAAAGAGGAGGCTTTAAATTTCCGTGTGTCTAAAGCTGGTGAAGTTAGTGAAATGGAGAAGGTATTTTTCAGTTGAAAATATTTTCTTCATTTATATAATATAATAAATATATGTTACTGTTATTGTTTAATATCTGTTTTTCTCACTATTTTGATTCTGTTGTAGGAGTTAGCTGCTGAGGCGGCAGGTCTTGAGAAACAAAGAAACGAGCTTGAAGCTGAATTAAAAAGGGTTTGTACTTTGTATAACTATAATTGTATCTATCTATTTAATATATATAAATGATTTGTTATGGTAATTAAAATAAGTAATAAATAATAAGTTTGACTTATTTTTTAGGTCAACATATCATTGGCAGCTGCTAATGGACGCCTCCAAAATGTTAGGGAAGAAAGGGATCAATTTTATGAAGCTAATGATCAGCTTGTTGCTCACTTGAAAACAAAGGTTGTTTTTTGTTTTTTGGTTTTGTTTCCATTATCATTTTAATCAATTCTACATTTTTTTTTCTCTTAAATAAACTTTATTTTCTTATTATATAGGAAGATGAGCTAGTGAAATCCATAGGGTCATGTAAACAAGAAGTCAATGTTTTAAACACTTGGGTCAACTTTTTAGAAGACACATGGGTTCTTCAACGTGCTAATACAGAAACTAAAGAGAAGCAAATCAGGTACATTTTTTAATTTTCCATCATTGAAAAATGAAAATCTTTATTTATATTTTATAAATATTATTTCTTGAAACATTTTATATTGATGTGTACTTTTTCAATCTAATTTCTCAAGCGATGATTTGGAAAAACATGAGAGTTATTTTGTGGATTTGGTCACTAAGTTGCTTTCGGCTTATGAGGTATATATTTTAAATATATTTTATATTTTTAAAAATTGTTAAATTTGTAATATTTTTTATTTATTTTTGTTGTGTACAGGAAGGATTGAAGCCTTCTGTTGATCGTATCGAGAAATATGTCAAAAACTTGAAGAGCTTAAGTGAAGGGTAATTATAAATTAATAATTATATATAGTTTTTTTAAAATTTTTATGATATGATTATTTAATTATTTATTTTCATTTTACAGATCAGATAAAGATAAACCATCTAATGTGGATAAAGAAGATTCCAAAGTTATAAATCCTAGAAGAAGTCTGGAGGAGGAATACCTGGACTATGAAGCCAAGGTATCGAAAAATAATAATTTGTTTTTAAAATAATTATATTTTTTGTGATATTATTTTTATTTCAGATAATTACAACATTTAGTGTGGTGGATAACATGAAAGAACAATTCTATACTCAACAAGGGAAAACTTCAAGGTATAATAATATTAATAAGTTCCCAATTCCATTTAAATTGTAATAACTAATAAGATAATACGTATATTAATTTTGTTGCAGGATAGAAAATGCAAAAGTTAAGGAACTTTTTGACAATATTGAAAAGTTGAGGGTGAAATTTGATTCAATCGAAAGACCAAATCTAGAAATGGAGAATCCAGAGGAGATATTAGAAGAAGCTGAAACAAGCAACAAGGAAACTGAAACTACATTGCCTTCAAAGGAAAAAACTGAACCACAGACACAGACGAATGAGAATGTGAAGGTGAAGTTGCCGGGTGGAAAGGGTGATTCCGGAAGCGGTGAGGGGATGGACGCGCAGTCGGAATTGGAAAGGTTGGAATCGGAATTCGGGAAGGTGAATCGGGAGTACACGGAGGAAGAGATAGGTGATTGGGAATTTGATGAGCTTGAAAAGGAATTAAGCAAATAGAATGTTTTTAGGTTTACAATAATAATTATAATAAAAGCATAAAATTAAAGAAAGATTTGAGTTTGTTTTTTGTTTTTGTTTTTGTTTTTGTTTTGTTTGTATATACATAACATAACTGGAATTTGGATTTGTTGGAGATTTAGATTACGTTGTTTGCATCTTTTTTCATGTAATTTATGAATGACTAAAGAAGCTTTTGTACAATGTAACATAGGGTCATAGCTTATATATGTCATGGTTGATTAATGCTTATAAGTAGATAAAATGTTTAAAGTTTTACATAAATATAAGGGAAAACGATACTCAATAGTAACAAACATTGACAATCGCTCTGTTTATATGTGCACTAAACTATATTTAATGCTACCCATACCCATGAAGCTAAGTGAGAGAGGGAGGCCTAATGATTCTGTATTTTTGAACCACGAAACACTCGATTTCCATTTCGGTTATGGGTGTAACCAACCTACTATTAAAGACATGACAGAAATAAGAAAAAGGATAATGACGTACAAGAATAATATACTTTTTGATTTGTACATATTTGGTCGTTCAGTTTTTTTTTTTTGTTCATATTTGTCCCTTCAATTTGTTTAACTGTACACATTCAGTCTTTATGACCGGCTATTCCTCGCAAGCAGGAAAAAATGATTTAATAGGATAATATATTTATCTCTTTGTACAGATTTAGTCCTTAATATATTTTTGTTGCAAAATAAGTCTTTGTTTTTGTACATATTTAGTACTTATGATCAATTTCTTTAAGTTTTTTCCCACAGTATTCTACGTGGGACAATCATTAATGATGTGTTCGGGTGGTTTGGCTTAAGTCTTGCGTTCTGAACGTCGTAATTTCTTCATACGATCTCGGATTTTAACGACCTTTATATCCACATGTTCATAGTTAAGTCTACTACAAATTTCTTTTAGATTACTCCCGTTAAAAAGTAAAATATTTTTACTTACGATTTTATAAAAAACGTTCATACATACATTTATAAAGAATGCATGTATATAAAGGTTATAAGTAAAAATATATTACTTTTTAACATGAATAATCTAAACGAAAGTTGTAGTAGGCTCAAATATGAATGTGTGGATATAAAGATCGTTAAAATCCGAGATCACATGAAAAAGTTACGACGTCCAAACCGCAAGATCTAAGCAACCAAACAATTGAGCAGCCAAGGACGCGGTGGCTATAAGTCTCAATAGCCACGAACACATCATTAATGATTGTCCCACTTAGGATACCGTGAGAAAAACTTAAAGAAACTGGTCATAAGTACTGAATGTGTAAAAAAACAAAGACTTATTTTGCAAAAAAATAAAAAATAATAAAATAAAAAATAAAAAATTAAGGACTTAATGTGCAAAAAAATATTAAGGATTAAATTTGTACAAAGTGAGAAATATATTACCCTATTAAGTCGTTTTTTTTCTGTTTGCCAGAAGTAGTCGGTCATAAGGACTGAATGTGTACAATTAAACAAGTTGAAGGGGCAAATATGGACAAAAAAACCCAGTTACCACATGTGTACAAATGGAAAAGTATATTACTCTTTTAATTCATTATCCAATAAGAAAATGGTGTTAGCTGTTAAAGAGAGGGTTTTGTTACTAAATGCTCATTCGCCTTTACCACGTCACTTTGTTTGTAGGAAGGTACTTACAACCCTCCTCAAGGATACTTGCAATGATTGATGGGGTCAAGATGTTGAGTTGACAAACTGGGTCTCCGAAAGCCCTCTTTTTAGCTTTGAGAAGAACCTATTTTAAATTTGTTCTCATGGAAGCCATTGCCTAGTTTGCTCTTATGATGACCTAGTCCTGGTTGATGCTGTTGACATAGATGTAGATGGAGCTCAGAGTTGAGTCTGCAAGTTCATCCCCAAGAAAGCAAAGCCATTCCGCTCGAGAAGATGCAGATAAAATGCTAATAGCATGATGTCCGCTTTTAAAATATTTTGTATTCTTAAAAAAGACCGAGAGTTCTGAGAAGTTAAGTGGGGCCCCTTTTGGTTTTGTTGTGAATAATTTTTATGACAGATGCTCTCACGAGGACTTCAAAGATTATGGCACAGTGTAGTGCTTGTTTAAGAAGTGAGTAATTTTTGGAAGTTTTATAATATTCTAGTTTTCGAATTCTTTGTTGGGGTTGAGAAAAGAAAGAGCGAAGGAAATGGTTGGCGTATAAGTTGTAATGCAAATGTTTACGCTCATAAATGGTAGCTTTGACATTGATTCATGGTTTATAATTTTTGTAATTTAAGGAGTACTCTTGTATATATGACAGTTGCAACAATGATTGTTCTGTTGGCTTGTTGCAAAAATATAAATATATAAAATGTCATGTTTCAAAGTGCATATGAAAGATTTACTTTTTCCATTATCCAATCTAGCTTAGTTTGCTCTTGATGTAATTTGTTACTATTTCACTTGTTAAAAATGGCAAATTGCAGAGAATAGCAACACACTTTTCTCTTGCTTCCAATATGGACAATGTATTTTATTTTGATCCATAATAACATGCATATACTATTTTACCCATAATAACAATGTACTTATATATTTTTACCCATAATAATGCTACTATATCTTTTACCAATAATGATAACATACTAACATTTATTTCACTACCAATATGAGTAACTTATTTTGTTTCTTATTTCATTCGTTATATTTTTAGAGCAAACTATATCAAAAGGCAAGGCAACATGTTTACATGCTTTTCCTCATCAATTTAACTTTTAAATTACCATTTAGTGTAAAAAATTGCAATGTTATACCCATTCAAGATTTGTAATTGCTTTCATAGCACAAAGTATTCTTGATAACTATTCGCATTTTGGGGGCCAAAATTTGGGGAGTTACAAACAAATATCTAAATCTACCAAAATTTAACAAGAATAACTATTAAATTGTAAACATCACATCATATCTCATTTTAACACTAAGCCCATTCCAATAACTAATACTACAATAAAATAAAAAATAAAGTTTTAGATCTTATATGAATCATCACCTCACTTCTTTTGTCCACATCTTATACAGTTACCTTCTCTACAGACCCTGAATTTTCTTTTTCTTGCCTTTTCCTGCACCAAAATCACACAAGTTACAAATTAAACAAAAATAGACAATAACAATAAAAAACAGTTATGTTAAACTACATTTTTGGTCCCCGAGTATAGCTGATCTTTTCAATTTTGGTCCCAAAATACTCATCAAACTTGAAACAGGGACTAAAAACGTTACATAAACCTCAAATGAGGACCAAGATTGCAGGTGAAAACTTTATAGTACCAAATTTTCGTAAATCAACTAAACTCAAGGACCAAAAACGTAATTTACTCCAAAATATCTTACTTGTCTTGCATCTTAACCAAAGATCTCGGCCTCTGATACCCCTCCTCCCTATCCTCCCCCTTCTTCCCTTGATTCCTTGATTCCGGTTTCCAATCCGCCTTAATCAGCGATTCCCCCAACAACTCCGCAATATCCGATGCCATTCCTTCCGCCTTCTTCACATACGGAAAACTCTCCTCCTTAAAATGATTCGATAACCACAAATACATTGACACAACTTGATGCTTACTTTCCAAATCCAACAACTCCATATCATTTCTAGCAGAAAACTTAGGAACCCCCATAGCCAAACTCACAGGAACATTCATAGAATACGACTGAGCAAATCTCAACAAATGATACATCGCTTTCGGGTCCCGTATATTCACAGGGGCAAAACAGAAATTAAACCGATCTTCCAAAGATAACCCTTCAACTTTCTCCAACATGTTAGCAACTTTCTTTATATGATCATGTTTACATAAAAAGTAACACCCATCTAATCGACAATTCTCACTGAATTTTTGTAAAAGTTGCGAAAATGTAATGTCGGAAATTTGTCCTGCGAATAATTCGACTTGTTCGAAAAACGGGAAGAGGCCTACTTTGGTAATTTCATCGAAATTTTTTTGTAAACATTCGATTAAGTAATCTAAATCATCTAAATGTAAAGTGGTTGTAAGTCCATCTGGATATATACTTCCTCTTCGACCCGCCCGCCCGGCTATTTGCTTCACTTGTGAAGGTGGGACCGGGACGATTTTGTCCCCGTTGTATTTTGAAAGAGAGTAGAAAACGATTCTTCTTATGTTTAAATTTAACCCCATTCCAACTGCATCACTTGCTACTAATATATCATACTCATTACCTTGTTCATTGAAAAGATTAGCTTGATGTCTACGTGTCTCTGGTGGCAATGCTCCGTAAATAACACAACATTTATGGGTTGTATGTTTTTCGATTGCTAATTTCACTTCGAAAATCTCACGTCTTGAAAATGCAACTACACAATCACCTGAACGAACGTTTTTTATATCACCTAATAAGGTTTTAGCTTCAACTACTAAAGGTTTGAATCTTTCATAATGGTTTTCGATTAATTCGTCTCCTGTTTCTTTACAGATTTTTCTTACAATTTGTAGAACACTTGGGTCTCCACATAGATGGATTTCATCAGCTTGTAAACCTAATAAAGCGCGTGTCCATGCGTATCCTCTGTATAAATCTGACATCATTTGGATTTCATCTATCACTGCTACTTCGTATAATTCTTCTGTGGACACCATTTCTACAGTGCAAGCAGTGTGATTTCCAAATGGGACATACTTCTTTTCTTGACCTGTGAGGAGGCTACAGTAGACACCTAGTGAGTTTACTTTATCGAAAACTTCCATGGCTAGAAGGCGAAGTGGGCTACAATAGATACCCTTTTTTGCTTCCATGAATCTTTGTAATGCGTTGTAGGTTTTACCACTGTTGGTTGGGCCACAATGGTAGATGATTTTGCGTTTGATGGCTCTAGCGAATGGGAACCAGGTTTCGGGTTTTGTTAAGTCTGCAGAGGAAATCATGCTTCTGAACTTTTTGATTTCATCTGGATACTGTTCTAGAGCGTATTCAACGAAGATTGGGAAAAGAAATTTGTCGGATTCGATACCAGGGCCCAGAGATAACAAGTGATCGACAATATCACGATCACATTTCTTGAAGAAAAAGTTTCGGAATTGATGAGCAGCAGTTGGGAAAAAGGACGCACCGATGTAGATAGCTAGAGCTTGGTTTGAAGCCCAACCAGAACTTGCAAAGCAGCGGAAGATTTCTGAAAGTTCCTCGCATTCTTCTAGCCCTAATTTTATCGAAATGGGGGCATCACGAAGCCGACGGTAAATTTCTTCAGGGTCGAGAGCTGAAACATGTTTAGATCCCTCGATTGTTGACGCAGATGCTTGATCTTTGCTTTTGTTACCGTCACCATGTTCTGATGAAATAGGCTCTGTAGATTGTAAACTAGAACTAGAATTTCCTATTTCATTGGGTGTACAATACAACCTCTTGTTGAAATTAAGAACCCTAAAATCTAAACCGGAAGAGGAAGAGGAACATTTATTGAGCTGGGTTCTTTCGGGGTTAGTGAAACCAACCGATTGGTGCATTTGGGTCGATGGATTATGAAATTCATTGCATGATAAAGTAAACCGATAAGAAGATGAGATATATCTGACCTTAAATTGGGATGAACAAATGCGGAGAAGGCGTGTTGCAGGATTTCTTGCCATTGCGATTAAAGAGCAATAGCATTACATAATATGCACAACTGAAGAATGAAGATAGATACTAAGATACATAATATACGAAGGTAATGAGAAATCAAAATTGTGGTGAATTGAGAAAGAGGTGAAACGGAGGGAAAGGAATGGTTACTACTAGAACCCTAGAAGGATGAAAATGGGTCGGTTAACTAAAACCCTAATGCAACCACAACCGTTGGCGTATCGGCAATAGTGAATTAGTTTTTTTTTTTTTTTTTTTTTTTTTTTTTTTTTTTTGTAGGAAGGTTTATAAATTTCATTAAGTTTAGTTTAAGATAATGACTTAAAACAATAATCTATCTTTTGATTTGTATACATTTGGTCATCGAGATTTTTTTTTTCACGACCATTTAACTTGTTTTTTTTATTCACATTTGACTATTTAACTTGTTTTTTTTTTCACATTTAGTCCTTACTCACAACCAACTACTTCAGGTTAAACCGAAAAAAATGACTTAATAGGGTAATATATTTTTTCAGTTTATACACATTTGGTCCTTAATGTTGTTGTACATATTTAGTCCTTATAACCAATTTTTTTCAGATTTTACTCATGACATCCTACATGAGACAATCATTAATGAGATGTTCTCATATGTAGATCATCATTCGCTTGTATTAGTAACCTAATTCAAAAATCAGTCAAAATATGTTTTTTGGAAAGGGAACTTCCCTAACGAGGGTTTTCGGGTCAGCTTTTGCGCACCGACTAATCCCCCGCTGCAAACATGAGGCTTTGCCTCATGCCCTGGAGTGACTGCAGGTGAACCTCCATGGCCACAAGGGCTGAGTGGTGCCAGGATTTGAACATGGGTCAATAGGTTGGTGTCATAGTTTTCTCCAAGCAACAGATGTCTTTGTTTTTGTTTCATCTATCTCCATAGCAGACAATAAGATTTTTTTTTGTGATTGTTTCCTCTTAACTCGAATTTGCACTTCCAAGACAAAAAGAATTAAGGAAGACGCTAAAAGAATTTGCACTTCCAAGACAAAAGAACACACTGGCGAAAAGTTTAATCGATCTCCATGGCAGACAACAAGATTCTTTGTGATTGCTTCCTCCTAACTCAAATATGCACTTCTAAGATAAAGAATCTTGTTGTCTGCTATGGAGATAGATGAAACCGAAGACGAAGACATATTCTACTTGGAGAAAACTAGGACACCAATACTATTTGACCGATTTGTAAATTAGGTTACTGATATAAGTGAAGGACGAGTCACGTATAAGAACACCTCATTAATGATTGTTTCATGTAGTATATCGTGAGCAAAATTTGAAGAAACCGATCATAAAGACTAAATATGTACAAAAACATTAAGGACTAAATGTGTACAAACTAAAATATACATTACTGTAACGCCCCGATTCTCAGGTGCTGATTTTGATATAAGATTTTCTTGATTTCAAGGCCTACTCGACGAGTTGGTTGTCATACTTGTCGAGTAGCAGCGGGTTGGTCCACGTGTTTTAGTGACCTACTCGCCGAGTCAAAGAAGGGACTCGACGAGTAGGAGTTGGTAGATGAAACCCTAAATCCCAGGGTTTTGCACCCTATTTAAAGAATCATAAGCCTCCTTCAGCCTCTTTAAAGTCCCTTGAGAACTCAGCAAAACCCTAATACATGTGTGTGTACTCCATTGTGTTTTAAGCTTTGGAAGAGGATTCTTGGGGAGAAGAGCTTGGGGAAAACAAGGGGATTGAAGCAAGGAACTCGTGGGAATCAAGATCTACTTTAGTGGGCATCTTTTGGGAAGTTATTAGGTTGTTATCCGAAACCCCTTTTCATTCTAGATCTATTTTGGGTGGATTTTAGGGCTTTTATAGCTTATTAGGAAGCCTTTCTTGTGTTTGAGCTAAGATCTGAGGTTGCAACCTCAGATCTGAACTCTCTTGGGTCTCTAAGTCCATAAAGTTTCTAGCTTTTGCAAGAATGAGACTCTCGTAAGGTGTAAAGCTCCATTAGAAGCTTAGATTGGTCATTTAGAGTCTCTAGGGCCTTGCATGCACGTAAAGTTTGCAACTTTATGTGATAAACATGCCTTAAAAGCTTGGATCTGCAATATGGAGTCGTTGCATGGCTTAAAAGTACCTGTGTGGATGAAGGTCTGAAGGGACTCGACGAGTTGCATAGTCAACTCGGCGAGCCACATGAAGATGGTCCTGTACTCGACGAGTTGGTTAAACAACTCGGCGAGTCCGATGAAGATTGCCTTGGGCTCGGCGAGTCAGTCGAATGACTCGGCGAGTCGGCTAGGGTTTTCCCAACCTTTGGACACGTAGGAACTCGACGAGTGGTTGGTTGTACTCGACGAGTTGAGGTCAACATGGACTGTTGACTTTGACTTTGACCAAGGGTTGACTATTGGACTTCTGGGGCATTTTGGGAGATTAGAAATTTACAAGCATGGTTCTAAGGTGCATTCAGGTGGTGGAGTTGTACCGGCAATCCAAGAGCTTGAGTTTATCTTCGAGTCGACAGTGCGAGGTGAGTTATCCTCACTATACTAAGGGGTCTAAGGCACCAAGGCCGGCCCATTGGATATGTTATCCTAGTAGTGTTAGATGTTGAGTATGAGTTAGTGTTGCAAGCTAGTGGTTATGCCAGTTAGGTAGACCTGTAGGACTACCTGTGATGTTATATGCTTATTGCATGCTCAGTGGTGATGTTGTATGTTATATGTTATGTGGGATGGGTTGAGGTTGTACTGCTCCGTGCGGTAGCCAACAAACCCTAGGAGCATTCCAGTTACGGGCTAAGGGAGACTCGTACTGTGGGCTCGGGAGCATTCCAGTTACGGGCTAAGGGAGACTCGTACCGTGGGCTCGATGACAAGCCAGATGTGAGTTGTGGGCCCGTAAGGCAATCCAGACTCACACTGTGGGCCCAGGGGGTAATCCAGTCTGTAAAGCCGTGGACCCAATACATGCTGTTGTTCATATATGTGTTATGTGCAGTGTATCGGTATTTTGGGGGAACTCACTAAGCTCTCGGGCTTACAGTTTCAGTTTATTGTTTCAGGTACATCAGGGGATCGCGACAAGGCGAAGGTGTGATCGTACAGATCCTCGTATTTATGTTATTGTTTCTGGGACACTCTGATATTATACATTTTGGAAAACAAGTTTGTAATAACTAATGGTTTTGGGTTGTTTAAAAAGTTTTAAATTGGCTTGAATTTTTAGGTGTTACAAGTTGGTATCAGAGCCTTGGTTTGAGTGAATTGGAGGAACATGCGTGTGAATCCAGTCTCAAATCAAGGAAAGGTTTTCAAATGATTTCTAAAATGGTTTTTCAAAATAAGTAAAAGAGGATGCAGGGTGTACGATCAGTCGGAGCCAGTAAGTAGACCCCAAAATGCCATACAGTTATTTGATTATGTGATATGTTAGAACAGCATGCTAGTAATAATATAGGGATCCTCAGGAATCGTATGATAGAATTGTCTGATCTTTGATGCCTTATCTTATGTAGAGTACCTCATTGATTGTTTGTGACTCTTTCGCGTGTGAACTAACTATTGGGTGAATACTCTAAGTCACATGCTACATGGGTTAAATGGTCTTAGGGTAAGTGATTTGGTCCTGCTGCGCAACTATTGTCTGAGTCCAACCGTTGTGGGATTAAATCTTTTAGTCTAAGATTGTTTAAGCCGTACGGTATGTGATTGTATTCATGCAATAGTTAACTGGCACCAATGGAGGGTCGTGTGGCAGTTGGTGGATGGGTGGGTAGTGAGAGGTCGGGAGGCCAATTATGAGATATTTATCATTCCTCTAGGGGTGAGGACTTAACGCTCGCTATGTATATGTATATTGTAGGGTGTTGTGGTGATACTTGAGACAAATATGGGTAGGTGTGGAAGGTAGTATGAGCCCGTACTACTGAAAGCACATGACCCATACGCGTGTCAAGGAAGTCACAACCCCGAGGGTTCGGTTGGGAGTAGGTTCCCCGTCGTGTATGCGGATTATCTGATATCTTCCTGGTATATGTTCAGTATGGTGGTGGCAAATCGATTTGAGGCGGGATCCGGATCAGGATCGGGAGCGAGCGGCCAGGGTAGGCCAGTATTGTCCGTCGATCAGATACGGGAGATGATTTCCGTGGAGGTTTCTCAGATTTTGTGAGAAGAATTATTCGGGTCGTAGACCGGGTCACCGCCAGGGTGATCGCCAAGTTCGAGGGGCAAGTTGCAGCGTTGCAATCTGTGAGATATGTTGCTACCGGGATGACTACTGGGGGAGTGCCGGTGGATGGGTCACAACTAGGAAAGAGGAGGAGGGACTTTTCAGCAGAGGACGAAGAGTTGGAGACAAATGACCTAAGTACTGGAAGTCAGGAGGGCCAGGAGGTGTGTGGCAAGTGTGGGGGAACCCACGGATTTGCTTGTCACAAATTCAAGTGATACAAGTGCGGGGAGAGAGGGAATGTGCAACAGGATTGTAAGAAAGGTCAGATATGCTTTCACTGTCACCAGCCAGGTCATTTCAGGTCCAGCTGTCCTACGTTGAGGACGGAAGGAATTCAGATTCCAGCAATTATCGTTCCTCAGGAGGTCAAGGTTGAGCCGCAAGAAGTCTCTGGTATGTAATTGGAAAACCCCATTCTGTAATAATATTGTGGTCAAGTCGTCCGTGATCGGTATTTATTTTGTCTTGGAATATTGTTAAGTATGGATAAACAGTAATTTTGGGTTAGTTGCCAGTTCTGTCTGATCTATGTGTTGCGGAGTTTCATGAGTTGTTAGGCCATTAGAGGTGTCAGGAGAAATTTATTATCAAAGGATTGTAGGTGATTAGAGTTCAGGGATTCATTAGAAGATGGGAAGTAGAGTGGTTGATTAGAATTTTATCACCTAAGGGCAAGGGTTGTGCCCTTTCAGTTTTTCGAGCTCGAAGGAGTGAGCAGGCTTGTGACCCCAAGATCGGGCTGTATTCCAGCTCGGTGTCAGTTGGTTGCAGGGATTGGCGATATTATTTCAGCGCAGGTGGGTCGATGTGGCATAAGTATTTTGTGAGGTCCGGTTTGCCTTGGATCTCTTGTATCAGGTGGTAAGGATCGATTGTGCGACCTATTGCTATTTTGGGATTATAGATTATGTCTTGGGAATATTTTGTAGCCCGGTTTAGGGAAGAGGTTGCTTCA